GCCACTGCATGAGGCCAGCTGGGTGGTACAGAACAGACAGGTTCTGGTTTCACAAGACCAGAAAACCTAAGATTTGCCTTTCATAAAATCACAGAATCACTGACTGGTTTGGGATGGTGTGAACCTTAGAACTCATTGCTTTCCAAACCCCCAGCTATGGCCTTCACCAGGTTGCTCCAACCTGGCCTTGAACACTTCAAGGGATGGGGGCTTCTCTGGCATCCTGGGCCAGGACCTCACCACCCTCACAGGGAAGAATTGTTCTCTAATCTCTAATGTAAACCTGCCCTCTGTCAGTAGGAAGCCATTCCCTCTTCTCCCAGCACTCCAGGTCCTTCTAAAATGTCTCTCTCCATCTCTCTTATAGGTTCATTTCAATCACTGGAAGGCTGCAATTAGGCCACCCCAGAGCCCATTTTTCTTCTTCTAAATATCCCATAGCCAGGTTTGGCTTATCTCTGCCTACATGTCAGCTCCTCTTGCACTTGTGGACTATCAAAGTCCTAATGTTATCAGCATACAAAACTATCTGTTACTGCCCAAGAGTCAGATCTGGTTTTACCCCTTCTGGGAGAAGGGAAGAGGAAACAGATAAAGACCAGCATGTTTGCTGTTACCCAGCCTGCTGCTGAGGCAGGAAATAGAATCACAGAATCAATTACACAGGAACAGATCTCTGAGACCATCAAGTCCAACCTCTGACCCAACATCACCATGTCAACTAGACCAGAGCACTCAGTCTTTCTATAGACACCTCCAGGGACGGTGACTCCAGAACCTCGCTGGGCATGCCCTTCCAGGGGCCCAATCACCCTTTCTGTGAAGACATTCTTCCTAATGTCTCATTTAAACCTCCCCAGTGCATCTTAAGACTGTGTCCTCTTGTCCTGTTGCCCACTGCCTGGGAGAAGAGCCTGAGCCCCACCTGGCTACAATCTCCTTCCAGGTTCCACTGCTTACTGCTCCCTGGGACAGGCACTTACCAGGCAGATCAGCCACATGGCTTTGGAATGTCATTCTCCAAATGATACATTTAAGCAGTCTCCAAACTAACCAGTGGTTTTAATCCTTCCTCAGGAACGCCACAGGCCAAATTCACTTTAGTTGGAAACCTCACCCTACCATGTGGGCATTTTCACCTGCACGAGTTCAGGCATTCACCGGAACACGTGGAAAGAACAAATCACAGTCCCCACACAAGGCTAAACAACACTGCATTTCGAAGCGACATGCTTCTTCCTTACAATCAAAAACCTCTCACTCTCTAAAAAATAACTGGTTTAGGGGCATCCACCCCAAACCAGAAAGTCTAAAGAGCAATCGACATAAACCAAATGACCATCTCACACACGCTTCTGGCTTTAGAGGCAGAATCTGCACACTCAGAGCAGCAGTTCTGTGGCAAAGGAAGCAAATTCGCTCGCCCTCAAGCCTCCCGTAAGGCTATAGCGCGTCCTTTACTGACAGTTTATTCCAGGTCTTCAGCTGCAAACCGGCAGAATACCCGGTGTGTGGAGGGTTCGGCGCCCGGCACTTTTCTGCCCACTACGGCCGCTCGGCCCAGCTCTGCGGCCGGCGAAGCGCGGGGCAGCCAGATCCGCACGCCGTGGGTCCGGTAGAGCGCCCGTGGGGCAGGGGGCCGCGAGACCAGCACAGCAACCCGTCCCTCGGGCCCGCACAACGCTCCTCCCGCAGGCCCGGCCGCGGCAGCGCCGACACCCGGGCCCGGTTCCCCGGCCGGCCCCGCCCAGGCCCTCCCTCCCTGCCCTCCCCGCCTCCGGCCGCGGGAGGCTGCGGCTCCAAGGCCCCATCCCTGACCCTCGCGCCGCCACCGCCTCTCGGCGGCACCAGCGCGCTCCCTGCGGCGCCCCGCGCGGCGGAGGGGCCGGTCGTGCCGCGGCCGGGCCGGATGGACGCGGATGGTGCAGCCCCCACCCCGCACTCACATCTCCGGCACCGCCGCCGCTCCGCTCCCGTCGCGCGAGTTTGACGCGAGCGGGCGGGAAGGGGCAGCGCCGGCGCGCGGTGATAGCGTCATAGCGGGGGGCGGGACGGGCGGATGCGCGGAGAGCGAACAGCGAACAGGAGCGGGGGGGGCGGAAGGGAAGGGAAGGGAAGGGTGCTGCCGCCGCTGCCGCCCCACATCGGGAATAAAGGCAAACCCCGTCCTGCGTGTTAACGACAGCAGCGGCCGGGGCTTCAGCTCTGGGCTTTAAGAGCTTGACATCCAGCAGGCTGCAGCCCCTGTCTCACGTGCAGGTGAGAATTCTGGCTCACGAGAATTGTGGCTCACCCTGTCTCACGTGCAGGTTCGCAGCACACCGACTCTGATCTGAGGTGGTGGCGGGTCTAGGGAGGGCACTGCTGTGAGGGGATTTGCCCTCTAAATGCAAGAAGATTGGGAAAAGGAGAATGAAAGACTTCAGATGGAGCACCATACAGTGGCGTTTCATGTCGTGGGATGGATATCCTCTCTCTCTCCCTGCCAAATGTGTTTGCTGTGAACTTAAAAGGAGATTTGCCACTGCAGACACTGAACCTCTGACCTTCTCACCACACTGGCTGCCTGGCTTTTGACTTGAGAGGAACAAAGCCAGAAGTGTGTTTTGACCCCATCCCTAATGCAGGGCCTTAAAAGAGACATATCTTTCTGAGAAGCAGGTGTGCCGATCAGCTTATGTGTATGGCCACAGACATGTCTGTTAAATTCATAATGACGGAATCTTCACCTCTTGAATGCAGTGGAAGGATATGTCCTGTCTACCTCCATCACAGGACATGAGCAAGACCAGGGCAGGTGTCTGTAAATTCGTGTGTAGCAAGAAGAAAAACAGGCTTATTTTCTGTTCTGCTGCAAAACCAAGGGGTATTACATAAAACCTGGCATGGAACAGGTTAAGAAAACCATAAAGAAAGCAAAAAGGAAGTTGTTCTGTCCACAGCATCTTGTTAAAGGGCAGATTTCTCTCACAGGCAATTTTGTAGTTGTCATGGTTTGAGGCTGGCACAGTGCCAGTGCCCCCATGAAATACACTTTTCCTAGTGGCTTCTGTGAGATGTGATCAGGAACAGAGCAAAGCAGGCTCCAACCTAGGAATAGAGGAAACAAACTTTATTAACTACAGCATCTAAAAAGGAACAGACACAGAACTAAGAATGAAACCCCACCAAAAACATTCCTCCTCCTCCCCCCCCATTTCCTCCACAGCATGAAATGACATTGTAGCTTTCCACCCCGTCGCCATCTCTCAGATAATCAACTTTTGAGTCCATCATCACCCCTCAAATAATCAACCCTCAAGTCCATCAGGGAGAGAGGAGTCCCTCCTTGCTTTTAACCCCCTGTGTTCTCAGAGGCGGTCCATCCCTTCAGTGGCCAAACCAGGTGCCAATATTCAAATCCAAGCACTGATTGGTTTTACCACAACCTCCCAAAAAACTCCCTTCTTAACCTACAACAGTAGTCTACTAAAAGTTCACATGGGTTCAATGAGAAACTGCATTATGTCAAATGAGGACTATTAGTAGACTGTCATAATGAGCTTAAGAATCATGGAATCATTTAGGTTGGAAAAGCCCTCTAAGATCACTGAGTCTAATTCCAATGCCATTCCCACAGTGCTGCCAATGCCACCACTAAACCATGTCCCCAGATACCACAGCTACATTTTTTGAACACTTCCAGAGATGGTGATTCTACCACTGTCCTGGGCGGCCTCTTCTAGTGCCTGACCACCCATTCTGCGAGGAGTATATCTCTAACATCTGTGAAAAACGAGGTTCACTTTCCTGGTAAAATTTAAAAAGTTTAATAAAAAGACAATAGGAGACAGAAATAAAGGAACGGGTTCAAAACGGCCGGATGCTTGGCATTCAGCCAAGAGCACACTGTTATCTTTGGACAGACCTTTCAAATACCTTTTCCATTAAATCAGCCTGTTGCATCTTCACAGAATTTATGCATATTCATATTTCTCTATAAACTAGCTTACCTATTCCAGGAACTATTTGCATGGTCCTGCCTTGGTCTGCCTTTTTAGAGCACGCGTGTTTCTTGGCCATGGTTTTAGTCCGTTCTCTTTATCACTTCTAGTTTGGGCCTTGATCCATACTTTCTTCAGACGGCAGATGCTGATAGTTGGCATATCAATAGCAGGATCCTCATGACATGTTCACTGGATATTATCCCGACCGAATAGACAGCTCACTCTTAACTATATCAGCTACCACTACTACCATGTCTAAGTTTTTGTTAATAGCAGAAATAAAAGCAAAGTTATTTTAACATTGTACACTTAGCATTCATATTAATATTTGTGAAAAGCCAACAATATAATATGTATTTATAACATATCCAAATGAAACCACCCCTGGTGCAACTTGAAGCCACTTCCCCTTATCCTGTCCCATGTTCGCTGGCAGCAGAGCCTAACCTGTCTGCACTCGCAGTGTTTAACTTTTTTCTCTCTCAGTTATGGCAAAGCCACAAAGGCTAACTGACCCCAAAATCCCGCACACCCTTATTCTCATAACAGCTGTCATCTCTCCAGGGGTGGGCAGGTAAGGTCACTGACCGAGCAGAAAAACAATAGCACTGTGAAAAAGGCTTGCTGGCAGCTGTTAGCTGCAGCAGGTTCCCGCCGGGCTGTGGGCCGCAGGCCAGCCCCAGGACGGTGGTGGCAGCGTGGGGGAGCTCTGATCCGCTTCCAGGGGCTGCCACCAGCTAGCAGGACTGAGCCTTTAAGCCAAGCGTGAACGAGGAGAGACGTTTTAACATCTCATTTGGGGGCACCAGCAGAGATGAGAGCAGCTCGAAGCACGTGTATGCTTCAGTTTCAGAGCCAATGGCCCCGCCGTGGCCTCTGCCGGCTGCCAGAGCACGGCTGGCACAGCGCAGCCACCATCCCCCGCAGGGATCGAGCTGGTGCTTCCAGGGCTGGAGGGGACCTGTGGGGACGGCAGCGCTGCCTCCTGTGAGGCTTCTCCTCCATCCTGTGGCACGGGTGTGACCAGCCACGCCAGGGCTATGCTCCGGGACGGGACAGACGGGCCTGTGCCCTGAGGCGAAGGCGCTCCGGGCGGCCCTGCAGCGCGGCTGCCCCGAAAGGGTTACGAGGAGGGCTCCGCCCTTCCTGTACATCGGTGTCCGCTTGGGTGACCTTCCCGGCAGCCCTTGCTGGCTCTGCCCCAACCGAACAAAGACGACAGGCGGTTTTCAAACAGCCGCTTCCCTGAAAGTTGGCTGCGGTAGAGCTGGGCTGCGCTGGCTGCTCCCGGCCGCCGGAGAATGCGGCAGCGAGTTGGTGCCGTCGCCTGAGAGGACCCCGGCAGCCGTCGGGAGTCCCTGTACGTGGGTCCTCTGCCCATTTGCTTCTGTGCATTGAGCTCGTTTGGGTGCTGGGAGCGGCGTGGGGAAGGATGAGAGGAACCCCCGGCAGTGGTGCGGGCACAGGGAAGGTGCAGCAGGACAGGGCTCCGGGCCCGCGGCCGTGCGGAGGCTGGTGCGGTGCTGATGTTCGGTGTCGGAGCTGGGAGTGGCATGCCCGATCTGAAGTGTTGTCCTCCAGCCGCTTCTTAAACTCAGAAGTCTGCCCAGCAATTTTCCAGCGAAGTGCAGATTCCTTTAGATACTGCCCATGTGTTGGTGGACGAGCAGCAGATGAAATAACAGAGCTGTGTGAGTGCTGCTTTTGGCTCTTCAGTGCTTTTCTGTCCCTTCCCTCCTGCACTCCCAGGCTGCTGCTGAGGACAGGCCATTTACAGCCACCTCCGCAGGTGAACTGCTCTGCTCCCGTGGGCTTGCGCTAATTGTCTCTAAACGCTGCCTGAGGCTGAGGGCGCTTGTCCCGCGTGTTGCGCCGACTTGCAACTTGCTTCATTTGTCCTTCCTGTTAATTGGCTTTGGGTTGTGGTGGCAACTACAGAGAGTTCTCCTTGAGGCCCTGGACATCCAGGTGATCAGTGGGTCATTCGAATGCCCACAGCAACACTGGCATTCCTGTATCATGGTGAGGTGTGAGCACCCTGTACAAATGCGTAGCATTTATGGGGATTGCGCTGCAGCACTAGCTCAGCCCACAGCCTCTGGATGCTGGTGTTTTCCCTGTGCTGGGAGATCTTTGGCCTGCCTCCTGTTCAGTCTGTCACTCCTGCACGTTTATGAGAGTAGGGGTAGATGCGTGTGGCTCCAGAGGATACAGTCTGTGTGGCTTCCTTAGAGGAATTTCAGGGTGGGGCATTTGTCTTCTAAGGACTTGGAAACTTTTCATCCAAATGTGTAGAAACGGCTTTAGTTGTCATTGCAGGGAGTTGAGAGAGTTTCCAATGGCTGCTTCCAGTTGTTGAGTAGCTACATAGATTTGGAACAACAAAAATAGGACATTTTGGGATTTCTCTCTAATCTACAGAAGGGTGTGAATTTAGAAATTTAGTTGAAATACTTACAGGTCTATTAAGCTATCTGCCATAGTTTCTGAACAACTGGTCCTCTCTTGAGGTCTAAGGCTATTCTTGCAGTGCACACTGATAGCTAGGCCATGAACAGGTTTAGGACTTCATGACTGTCTGCCTCTGGATGTGTCAATGCATACATTTGTGTATTTCAGGGCTTTTCGCTTAAAAACCGTGCTTTGATGCTCATTTTCCTGCAACACTGTTCTGTCCTGATGCTGTTGGAATACACCTGCTCAATGCTAACTTAGGCAAACGACCTGGTTTCACCACAAGGAATAAATACTGTGTTACACTTTGCAGTGATTTATTTGTTTGCTCGTAAGGCATGTGAAAGACTCGAAATTCAAGGTGTGCTTGTGGTGCAGCCAGTGCAGCTCTCTCTGCTAGAAGGGCTGTGTCTGCGGAGAGCAGTGACTCCAAGTACATAATGCTTTACAGAGGGGTACAGGTAAAGGCAGGACAGTGAGATACTTGGCATTTTTGTTCTTGTCTGAATACTAAAGTTCACTTGATGAATTTGTTCAGTGTGAGGGCAAAGATAGATTTTGGAGCCAGAATGTGAAATCCAGCCTGCTCCTCTCCCACAGGCCACTAGGTGCTCTGTGAAAGCATCTTGTTCCTTCAAGCTGTGGTTCTACAGTTCTTAATATCATGTTTGGATGCTCCAAATAATTTCTTAATACATACCCAACCTTTACCAGACACAGCATCACAACCATGATGAGTTTGTCAGACCAGGTAAAAATGTTGAGGGTGACCTCTGGGTTTTGGGCTGTGGGAGACTTGATGCAGTGCAAAGCCTTTTGTTGAAGGCTGTCAGTGTGATTTTATAGTGTCTCTGCTCTGTGGTGTATGGCCTAGGATTTTCCAGTATTCCCGGTACTGTTCCCTTTCTCCCCTCAAAGGTGAGGTAACAGTACTAACAACACTAACACAGTGTTGTTACCCTGTGATCCCAAACATCCCAACACACTTTATCTTTCCACCATATCTCTATACCCTCTTCCCCAATGAGCTCCAGGCTGTAGAAGCATTGTCTGAGGCAAGGGCAAGCTATGTATACCATTGTACTAAAATTATTTTTTTTTTTTGCAACCCCCAAAACGTAAAAGAACCTTGTGGAGATCCAGCTTTCTTCAGTGTTCACATTCTGAAAATCTTAAAGTAGAACCGTAATTTTTTATGTTTTTCATGTTAGGATCTGATTTTTAAAGTGTGGCCAGGCAGGGGTAGCTCCTCAACTGCTCTGAAAGCACAGCAGTTGTTAGAGCAGGTGATAGAGCAAACCGAGCTATGGGCTCTAAACAGCTCACTTCAAATCCTGGCCAGACCCAGCCCTTTCTCTCTGCCATTCTGATGTCTCAAGTACAACTTGATTAAAATCCCTTCTGAGGTTATCCCTTCAGACAGCAGCACTGTCTAAATTCATCTGACCTATCACCTTTTGATAAAACCTACAACAGAGCTGCTCCATCACCAATTTTACAAGAAAGGGTCAGGTACACAGGTAAGGTGGGATGCTGCGTACTGTTAGATAATGTTATTGCTTCCATAAGGCTTGGCAAATCCCACAGAACAGTGGCACTGAGTAAAATTGTAGCCTAGGAGAAATTACCATTTCCCCCTCGTGCAGATCTTTCTGCTTTGGCAGCATTTCAGCATTGGACACCTAATACCATTCAACTTTTTCCGGGCTAAGTTCCACTGAACCACCTTGGCCAGCTCATTGCCATTCTTGGGTCCTGTGCAGGGCCAGGAGGTGGACTCAGTGGTCCTTGTGGGTCGCTTCCAGCTCGGGGTATCCTGCGATTCTGTGAGCCTTTTCTGATTACCTGTCTCCACAGAGCTATGACTTCCCAATCTGTCCCTACTGCAGTGAAACTGTTCTCTGCATTAATAGCAAAGAACTATCCATGTCCCTTCTGAGCTGTGCCAGGCAGGCTCTGGACCAGGACCCAGACGGCAGGAAGCCCAGTGGAGGATTGTCCTCCCTATGGACACATGAGTGTGTTCAGAGCACAGTTCTCTGCAGGGTGAGGATTTGGGCATCCCTAGCAGACTCCTTCCACAATTCCTTTGCTCTACTTGATATATTTCTTGCTGTCTGAATCTATATCTGAATCCCATGTAAACCAGCACTGTCTTCCCTGTGCTTCTGGGAGATGTTTATAATAATTATTTTCCCTTCCAAGCTGATGCAGAGTGAAAAAGGACTTGTCTTGCCAGGTTTTGCAGCAGCTATTCAGAACACTACAAGAAAGCAACAAAACTAAACAAGATGAATGAGTGTCCCTCCTCAGCTGCTTGCAGCTGCTCCAGCTTCCCAAGCTGTGTTGGGCATCTGAGAAGGAGGTCTGGAAATTAGATACAAAGGAAAGTGTGGGCAAGAGAACCTTGTCAAGCTGTTTGTAATCACAAGGCCCAGATCTGACAGATTTGGCTTGTGTCTTCTTACAAGGTCCATGAGGATCAGTCCCCTTTTGGCAACACTAAATCGATTGTGAACGAGGTAAACTGTTTCCCATGCCTTGGTAAACCAGCCTTGCACTGTACAAAGAGCATTGAAAGGAAAGAGACATAGCCACATCCAACTTTGTTCTTCGTGATCTGACATGGACCTTCTTAGGGCGGGAGTATTTTGCACTCTGTGTAGCACAGCAAGCCCTTAAGCTCAACATGCTTTGGGATGTTAACAACATAAAGTGTTTGTTTTCAATTGCTGAGACCAGACAATGAGCTGTATCTTCTTGCTCTGCATCTTCATGCTCCCTGTGGGCCACAGCTTTTGCTTTTCTCCTTCCTCTTCATTCACATCTGTTCTCAGTATCAGCAGTTTGCCTCTTGGGTGAAACCTGTTGCTGCACCTCTGTATCTGCTGCCTCATGACTTTGCTGCTCCTTAAATAGTGGATCGGAGCTTATTGCTCTGATTAGGACCATCTGTACATAAATGCCTCCATGTCTCCAAGGCTGTTCCATCTCGTGGGCCAGGCTGGCCATAGGCTTGATGCAGCTGAAACAGCCATTGAGAAAACACAGCCCCAGGGTAGCACAGTGACCTTTGCCATGTCTGTTGAAGGATTGACTCTTCCTTGCTTCACCTCAGCATGAATTCTAGAAGCAGCTTTGCTTGTACCTCCCTAGGATAAAAACTGCCTGTGTCCAAGAGCAGCTGTGAGACAAAAGGGAGAAGTTAATCTTCCCAGACATGAGCCAGCTCCACGGTCACACAGCTAATGTTTCGCCCTTGGGGAATTTGTCATTCAAAGCCAGGTAATCAGGGCTTCAGAAAAACTGTGGGAGAGACAGGTGGCAGTGGCTGGGGTGGATGTGTGTGCAGGCAGTGAGGGAGCTCTACTCCAAGGACTTGCAGGATGGACACTGGGGAGGTCCTCTCAGGTTCACCTCCTGGAGTGGGGGCTTGCACAAGCACAGGAACAGGTTGTGCAGAGGAAGAGCCTGCTTGGCTTAAGGCTGGTGGTTACATTACTTGAGTTGCAGGAAGACTGAATTCATGCTCTTCCTCTTTTTTAGACCTTAAATCCACTCTGCTCTGAAAGGAAGTCTGGAGCATGCTGTCTTCTTTCTCCTCCTCTGTTGAGGCTGTTTAATTTTGTATGCAGTATTATCTGGGCCAGAGCATATGGGAACTAAGGAAGCAATCCTGGTGATGGGAAGGCTGCTCCAGGCTCTAGGCCGTGTTTTTGTGGATATAGCTGCATGCAGAGTTACGGAATAGAGCATTACCAGCAGTAATACTGGGGTAAAGGGCCTTTCTCAGCTACAACTAAGTACATAAAGACCTCAGACATTGCAAGCATTCAGCAGCAGCTGAAGAAAGGGTGGCTAATCTGAAATTTGGACAGACACCTAAATTGGCAGGCTGGAGTAAGATTCCTGTTGCAGGTGTGGTGGTGTAACAAGGCAAATGTGTATGTCCAGCTGGCTGTGTAAGGTCTCAGAAGCCAACCCACTAAAGGGAAAAACTTGTAGCTTGTGGTGCTGCATGACAGCCCTCTCTGATTGGAACTAAGTAAACTGAGTGATCCAGTCACTGCATCTTCCCCGGGGATCCTCATCCCACTGCAAAACACAAAGGGTGTGGCAGGAAGACACTTTCATACCATGAAAAGCCATTGCAGCTTGCAGGGGAATAATCTGTGGCTGCTGAATCTGGGTTTGCCGAAGGACTTGCAACTGTGGCTGGAACACAGTATGACAGCCAGGGAAGCAGAGGCAAGCAGGATTTCAGAACAGGGACTTTTATTGCCCACACTCAGCTCATGGCACCTGGTCTTTGTATGGAAATGCCAGCCAAGCCAACTTTGTGGTGCTGCTCTATTTTAGAAATAGCAACGGTTGAGTCAGTCCAGATGAGACTGTTTCAGGATTTTCTGGAGGAGATGAACCCCCTCTGTGTTCCTGATATCCACAGAAATGGAAAGCGTTAGATGCAGAGGGTGAGCTCCCACAATTGCTGTGACTTTTCTTACACAAATGTGCTCCTTTTTCCTATCCTCCTGTAAAACCAGCACTGGAATTAACTTTTCCCAAGTGGTGAAAGAAACCATTATAGGAACCCTGTCACTCCCAGCCTGGCCCTGGAAAGCAAAGGGAACCTTATTAGTCACAGGTCTAGAAAATCCTTGAATCTTTCCCTCTCATTGAACTGATTTTTGCTTTTCCTTGTGCAAAAATTATTGGAGAGTAACAAACACCTTAAAGGCCAGGTGAGTGTAAAGATCTCATCTCTATTGTGAATGTGTAAGTTGATAAGGTGTGTGCATAGCACAGGCTGCAGCTCCCTGGGGAAAATACCCTCTGGAGAGGAAGAAAGAGGAGATGATGGACTCAGTGTGGAAATGGGGAGCACATTAGTACAGGAAAACTGAGTTTGCAGCAATACCTGATAAATAAAGTTATAAGTAGAGATGGAGCTAGGCCAGGCTGTTGCAAGGGCTGACTGTGGGATCTTATGAGCTGGCCTTCCAGTAGTTGAAGGGAGCTTACAAGGAGCATGAGGAGATATTTTTTACAAGGGCATCTAGAAATAGGACAAGGGGGAATGGCTTCAAGCTGTCAGAGAGTAGGTTTAGGTGAAATATTAGGAAGAAAGTCTTCCCTGTGAGGGTGCTGAGGCCCTGGCACAGGTTGGCCAGAGCAGCTGTGGCTGCCCCTGGAAGTGTTCAAGGCCAGGTTGGATGGGGCTTGTATGAACCTGGGAAAGTGGAGGGTGTCCCTGTCCATGGCAGGGAGTGAAACAAGATGAGTTTTAAGGTCCCTTTCCATCCAAAGCATTCTGGATTCCTCAAATCAGGAGAGAGAATGAGGTGCTGGAGTGAGTCCAGAGAATGACAGTGAAGCTGGGGAAGGGTCTAGAGGGTAAATCTTATGAGGAATGCCTGAGGGAGCTGGGGTTGTTTAGCCTGGAGAAAAGGAGGCTCAGGGGTAACCTTATCACTCTGTACAACTACCTGAAAGGCTTTTCTCCCAGTGAACTAGTGACAGGACAAGGACGTAGCTTCAGGCTGAGCCAGGGGAGGAGTCTGGTTGAATATCAGGAAAATTTTCTAATTTCTTCATAGGAAGAGTTGTCAGGCATTGGAATAGGCTGCCCAGGGACATGATGGGAGTCACCATCCCTGGAGGTGTTTAAGAAAAGACTGGATGTGGCATTTAGTGCCATGGTCTAATTGACAAGGTGTTGATCAGTCAAAGGTTGCACTCAGAGGTCTTTTCCAATCTAGTTTGTTTCTGTGATTCTGTGATCTTGGAGGAAGTTGCTGGAATACTGCATTTTATGGAATAGACTCAGGTTGCTTTCACTGGTAACCCTTTTCCCATACCTGACAGGGGTGGAGTAGCTGTTGTGCACTTTGTCTGCCCTCAAGGTGTAAGTGAGCAGGGTTGGAGCTGGTTTTTGACCTGCACTTAACGCCTGCACTTGCCTCTTGCATCTCCTGGTCAGCTGCTGGATTCTGACCCCCAGTCTGTTTTGCAGCGTCTTCCTGAAATGGCTTTTCGAGTCATGGTCTACCTCTGATCAGTAAATAGATTTTTTTGTAGAGCCCTGCTGCAGAGGCAAGTGCTGTTCTTGAAGGATAAGGAGCTTGGGTGAAGCCTTGCATTGATGGTATCTCCATGGAGCTGCTGTCCATATCCATGCCCTGAAGCCATCCTGGCCAAACTCCTCATCCTGCTGCTCCTCCAACAAATGGAGGGTTCTGAGGGTACACTGTGAATTTGGAATGCTGAATTTACATGGGGTTAGTGGAGCAGGGATAGTCTGTGCCTCCGATGAGCTTTCCCCAAGCCCAGGAAAGCAGGGCAGGGTGGTGGGATCTCAGTCGAGGGCTGGGGAAGGGCTGAAGGGGATGAGCATGTTATGAAGGAGGGATTTGGGACATGGGTCTGGTACATGGAGAGCAACACCTTCAGTGGAGAAGAAGCTGGAGGAGATGCAGTGTGGAGTTGGTTCTCCTCCAAGGTGGTCTCCTCATCTTCCCTGTGGAGGCTGGGTGAAGGCTGCAGCCATGGCTGTTGGCTTTCCTGGCATTTATGTAAATGATATGTTTCTGTCGCCAGCTGCTCAGGTACTCCAGTGTCCTCTGGCTGTGTCTGGAGACACTGTGGGAGGAGAGCAGAGTATATTGCCAGGGCTCAAACTCCTCATACCTGCAGCTTTAAGATGGTGGTCTCCTTGGAGCATCTTCCTTTGATGTAGGGAAGGTTAAGAATTTCTGACCTTTTGCTCTTGCTCTGCAATTATACTGTCCACATCCAAGGATGTGTGTTTTCCAATATCCACTGCCCCAGCTCTTATCTACAAGGTCCCTAATGCACACAAGCAGGGCATGGGGTTGCCTCTAGACATAAACAGAGCTGGATCAAAGTAGAGCCTACATCTTTGCAGCTAATGTGTCTTTCTTTTGCCACGGAACAAGTAAGATGCAGAGGGGCAAAACTCCTCTATCAAATTGACTCCATTTCTCCCCGAGGCTGATGCCCAACAGTCTCTGTGCCTTCTTGGCCAACATAACACATTATAGTCTTTTTTAAGGTCCACATGAACCTTGGGAATTGTGGTTTGGAAAAAGTTCCTATATCACATCTGCTTGGCAGCAGCCATTTGAGGTAGTCTCTAATCGGAAGCATCTTGCTGTCTTCTGTGAATTCCTGGAAGATATTTATTTTAGTGAAGTGAAACCTAAAAGTATGTCCTTTAGGGAGCAGCTGCAGCACTGAGGGTCCAAGAAATGCCTGCAGATTAAGGAATTGGTAGAAAGTGGAAAATACTCTCCACCATAGTTGTGCAGACACATACATGTGCATGTATAGGCATATATAAGGTATATCCCTGTGTGGTACAGGCATGTACCTGGTGTGAGAGAAGAAGCACAGGAAGTGCAGCCATTATATTTATAGTTGTGCCTTCTTTACAAGTGTATCAGTGATTGCATTTGCTTCTCCCAAAGGTACAGGACGGTGTCTTCTCCAGACCCAAGGGCAGGCTCTGCAGCACCAGCAGTTCCCACATGGAGTTTCTACAGTTCTGCTTGCCGTGACCTTCTGGGCCATCAGGGAACCACAGTGGAGTCCTGCCAGCCTCGTGCAATGACCCATCACTTGCCAGGACTCTCTCCAGGCTTCCTGAGACACTGAGTTGCTGCTTGAGATCCTGACTGCTTCTGATTCCTCACTGCTGCTGGCAGGGTGGGATTGATGTCCACTTCAGGACACTGGGAAGAGCCCAGCCCATCACCATCCTCTGTGCCCTTGGCAGACTGGGGGACCAAGCTAGACCCCTCTCTCTAAAGGGGCTCCACGTGAGCAAGGGACAGGCTTGGGGCTGTCCATATTCACTCTGGTGGGAAGAGCCACCTCCTTCACCCTTTCCACCTGGGAACCGTGTCACTGCTGGGGATGGCAACACATGGACTCAGAGCAAGGACCAGGAGCCTGGCAGCAAGGCACTAGCTGAGCCTGAGCGCCATCACGGGGCATAGAGCTGCTGGGGGGTGCCAGCATCCCCACCACGGATGCACTGCGGGGATGTAGGTGCCGGGCGCAGCAGGAGTCCCGGCAGCAATGGGCCGGCTGGACGACCATGCCAAGAGGAGGATCGTGGAGCTGCGCAGGGCTGGGCTGAGCTTCCGCAAGATCAAGAAGGTGCTGGAGCTGGATGACATCCGGGTGACGCCGCAGGCCGTGTACCTCTTCCTCAAGAGGAAGAGTGTGGAGCCGGGGTCAGTGGCCCCTGGCTGGGATGGGGACCAGCCCTGGCCCCCGCTGCAGGGGCATGAGGCTGAGCCCCCCAGGCTGCTGGGCACCCAGCACCCTGCACTGCCCTCCGGGGATCCCATGGGCAGCCGGGCGCCCTGCAGGGCTGGCAGCCAGGACACCAAGGAAGGCATCCAGATTGTCAGTGTGGCCTCACTCTGCAAGGACGGTGGGCAGCTTGGGGACACTTTGGCTGTGGGGCTGGCCCCTGGAAATGGTAAGGCCTGGCTCCACTGGGGTTTACCATGGCCACTTCCTGGCACTGATGGGCTCATGAAAGGGCCCCATTCCCCACTGGAGACCCCCAAGGGCCTCCTTTTAGGTGTTTCTCTCTCTGTTGTTGCAGGTGATGACAGCTCCACAGGCACAGTCCTGGCACCAGGAACTGCTCTGGGGGGCCTTGCCCCCCTGCCCCAGCCACTGCCCAGCCGAGGGCAGCTGGTCACACCCCCCACCCAGAACTCAGGCCTGGTGGTGAAAAAGAAGACAGTGGACAGGGCTATCCTCCTGCAGAAAAAGGTAGGATGGCAGGATGGGAGAGTCCATCTGCTCCAGCCAGGAGCTGCTGCCATCTGGCCAGCCCTGCACAGAACCCTGCTGCATCTACACCATGTGGTGGGGCAGGCTTCTGGGGGTGAAAGGCTCCCAGAGTGCCCCCAGCCTCTGCTAGCTGCACTCCCCAGCAATGCTAACCCTGACACTTGGCAAATATATCTGGGAAGCCCTGCTGGGTGGGGATGAGGCCATGCGCCCACCTGCCTCCAGCCAGCACTTGCTGCTGGCCATGGAGATGCCAGTCACGCCAGGCTTGGCCTCCAACCGGCAGCTCACAAACCTCTTTTTAAGGCTTGGTGTCAGTACCATCTCAGGAGGTTCTTCCAGCCACCCAAGGCTATAAAACAAAATCCAAGGTATGTTGTTTCTGTCCCTGCAGAGAGCAAACACAAGCCTGGCATCAGCATGGGCAGCCCCACTGCTGTTCAGCAGCACTCACCCAGGATGGATCAGCATGTGCCAACAACATGGTGCAGCAGGGGCTCTAATGGAGCAGCAGCTTAGGGGCTGGGTGGGGCTGAAGCGCAGCACATGGTGAGGTCTAGAGGTCTGCAGTGAGGTGATGCCTTTCTCTGAGAGCTCTTCTCTGAGCCTTGTAGCTAAGTGCAGAATAAATCCCTTGTTAAATTTGCCATTGAACATGCAGCTGGTAATATTTCACGTTCCCTTCTCTCCTGCCTTCCACTATTCCAGGTCAAAGATGCCAGCACTCAGACTGCCTTGCCAAACTCTGTGTGTCCAGGAAATCACAGCCTTGCTTGGGGCGGACCAGTGCCCCCAACTGCTCCCAGCTGCCCTGCCATTGCCGAGAAGCTGGATGCTGTACAGATGGAGGTGCAGAAGCTGAGCCAGGCCCTGCATGCGGTGCTGGAGCGGCAGTGCCGCCTGGAACGCCAGCAGGAGCACCAGCAGCGGCTGCAGCAGGAGGTGCTGATGACACTGCAGCAGCTCAGCTCCACCGTGAGCCACGGCGCTGTGCCAGCCACCCAGTCCTGTGGCCCCTTCAGCAGCATGGCTGAGCCCTCACCCAGCATGCCAAACTTCAGCCAGTTCAAGATGGAGCTGATCTGAGCTCCCACAAGGCCTGTGTGCGGCAGCAGTACTGTGCTAATGGAGCCAGATGGAAAAACCATCTCTCAGAGGCTGCCTAAGGATTACATGCAGCGCCCAGCATATAAGGTCCCTGGTGCCTCATGTTCCCAGCCTTGCTGACTGGAAGGGGCTGCCTGGCACAGAAGGCTGGACAGTGGAAGGCTGAGGCCTTGCTCCTCCTGTGCTGCTGATCCTGGCTCGCACTGGAGGTGACTGGGGCCTATGGACCTCAGCAGAAGGCAGTTGCCTGCAAGGAGAAGATGCAGCTAACATGGACACAGCAGGGAGGTGGGACTCCAAGGATACAGGAAGCTTCCTTCCCATGAGGGTCACTGCCATGGTGATCAATCTTGCCCTCCCCTCCACAAAAGCTTGTTCAGTAAAAATGTGTCTACACCACGGTTCAGAACCAGTGTGGGATCAGTATCTGCCTACTCCCTACCCCTCACCCCAGCCAGTGAGCAGGCTGGATCTGTCTGGGTCACTATCACCATGCATGGAACTGCACAGGGTGCAGAAACCCATGAGGTGAGACCAGCGCTCCACACATGATGTTTCTGGAGCCTGGTATCAGCTGCTGCACCATTAGGGATAGATCAGACTTGTAGGAAACAATCTTTACTGAGCAGATTTCACCCTCCTCACCCTACAAACCCAGCAGATCCGGAGTCTGGTACTGCTGCTGCTCACTGTCTGACAAGATACGGGCAGGACCATAGCAGTAAGAGTTGCACCTGGGCAGGAGCTGATTAACTGGGTGTTCAGTTCTCCTCCAACTGGTTTTCCTGGGCAGGATACCCCCCTGGCTGTTGTAAGGGCTCTCCCTAGAGCAGGCTGCTGGTGTTGCAGAGATGCTCTAGCAGAGCAGGTCATGATGCTGAGAACTCCCTTGCCTGACCCAGAAGGGCATGGCGGAGGCTGATGGGCCCTCACTGAGCATTGGAGTCCAGAAGGACCAGAGACTGGCCTTGCCTGCCAGCAGGAAAGGTCTGATGGGGTGGCCTTGGCTCAGCACCCAGTAGTGAATCCCAAGGGGAGGCAGAGCATGTGTCCTTCCCCCACATCAGCCAAGCAGGCTTCTGTCTGCGCTGGCACCCTGCTTGGCACAGTCTGTGCCTATGAGAAGTCCCCAGCCTGTTTCTGAGGTCTCTTTGAGTCCAAGGTCAAAATTAAGAAGGGTAAAAACCAGTGGAGGTGTTTGCGCACAGACACACACACGGAGCTGTACACATGCACAGACGTAGATGCCTGTGGCAGGTCTGTGCAGCAGCCCCGGTGCTGGGGGGAGCTGTTCACCCGCTCTGCTCCCCCAGGACACGTGGCTGGCCCCAGGGCTCTCAGGCCCAGCTGTGCCCAGGAGAGCTAGAAGTCTGCTGCCATCTGCCTGCGCTCATTCATTTCAATCTTGGTGTGATTTTGGGGATGGCTGAAAAGCAAGAGATGAAGAAAAACACGTGATCAGTTGCTCTGCTCTTTTGCACAAGGCAGCTAATCTGCACCTCAGGTTTGAAAAGAAGAGGCTGGATGACCAGCACTCAGCAGGCAGTTTCCCAATGTCTCTGTTAACATTTCAGAGAAAAAGAGGAGCAGGACAACTGCTGTGCCCTGGCATGTGTACTTAAAACTGCGCTGGTTTCTGAAAGAGCTTCACTAAATCTGACTTGGGCTATTTCTTAAATTATTTATAAAAAAAGAATATATATATATATATATATATACACTGGGTTTTCTATTCCCCAAATGCATTCTAAGAACTTTCCTCATTTCTAACTCTTGCACATCAGCCCTTTATCCAGTGCTAAAAAAAAACCCAGCAAAAATTTATAAAAATAAACCACCTGGGCTGGTTAAATGACCCATCCACTGTAACATTTATTTCAGACAGACGTACAGCCTGAATGTTCAGCTGCTGTTTGCCTCCTGACCACATTAGGGAACACCAAGTTATTATTTAATATAGTGTCATGTTATAACATGGAAGGTGTTTTCCACCAAGGTAATCCTAAGGTGTCTGTCATTTCCATCCTGCTCCAAGGAAGAGCTCTTCCCTGTGGCCACAGCATCATCTGTTGTGTGCCACATGCCTTCAGCTTTCTGCTCTCCCACCACAGCATGTTGTCAGTACCACTGATGGCCCTTACACTGCACCTACTGACATTCCCAGCATGATTCAGGATTTACAGGTGTTATCTTAACCTCCTGCAGAACCTGCAGTCTGCACTGTCAGAAGCAGAGGCTTTGTGAAAAGGAAGGGACTTCTCTGCAAGAATGAGGAGCAGCATGTTGAACGGTCTGAAGGCAGTGTAGGTGTTTAGCTGAGTAAAGGAGCAGGTCTGTGCAGCAGTTAGAGAGGAGGCCCTGGGGAAGAAGAGGGTGGGGGATGCACAGCAGATACAACAGTGGTTTCTCACCTTTATGAAATAAGAAGCCAGGCCAACAAACAATAACAGGAACAGGAGAGATCCTATAACAAACAGGGAAATTTCCCAGCCCTGGAAGGAAGATGGGGGAACAAAGGCAGAGAAGAGGCATTACAGCCATGACCTTTCCCAGCATGGGGGGGGCCTAGGAGGTCACACATTCCGAATCACAGAATGGGTTGGGTTGGCTTGAATTGAAAGGAACCTTTAAAGGCCATCTAGACCAATCCCTTGACATGGACAGGAACATCTTCCACTATTCTAGATTGCTCCAAGCCCCACCCAGCCTGGCCTGGAACACTTTCAGGGGTGGGGCAGCCACAGCTTCTCTGGGCAATAACAGGCACTCTTTCTCCCCTGCTACAGCCTTTGTGACATCCCACCTCTGGACAGTTCCAGCCTGGGTGCCAGTAGCTGCTCCCAGCAGTTGGGCCTCGGGGCTTCCTGGCTGTGTGAGTAAGAGGTCCAAAAGCAAGGGCCTCCCGACTGAAGCCCAGTGGCTTGCCCACATCTGCCCTCTCCTGTGGAGATGTCACCTGACCCTGGTCCCAGCTCCACTCACTGTGCTGGTAGCAGAGTCCCTCCTACTTACTACCACTGTGTGACATGAATGGCATATTTCTGGGGGTGACACACATATTTTGGGGGGTTTTCAGAACTCTCCCATGCATGGAGAAGGGATGGGGGCTGGCCAGGAATCCCTGGAGACAGGTTTTGATGGACTGCTCCTGCTCTGGATGCTGAGCCTACACCTGGCCCCAGACCTTCACCAGTGAGCCCACACATGTCATGTTAAGCTCTGCCAAGAAACAACAGCACATTTTGGGTGGTCAGAAACCCTCTGGTGTCAGGGATCACGCTGCTCCCATGACTTTGTGCCCTCCTGGTCCCATGCTCTTCACTTTTCTCCCCCCGCTGCTCTGAAATCATGCTGCCATGCTGCATCACTGGTAACTTGAGCACATGCTCAACCTTTCTTTTGGTGACAAAAGGGACTTGAGGTTGTCATCCCACCCAACAGAATACTTTTTACTACACTTTGTACCTCTACCTACTGGACAGAATTGACTGAAATTGTTCAACTGGGCAAAAAGGCATTTGGATTAGGGAGACAGAGCATGGCAGCAGTCTTCCTTACAAAACCAGCCAAAACCCAGAAAACATTTTCCCTGTCCCTCAAAAGCTGTAGTCCCTAAGGCCTCTAGAAGTGACTATTTGGTCTGGGTTCTTTGAATAAATGGAGGAGTTGGGAACCAGAGTTCTCTGGACTGCAAAGGGCTGTTTGCTTTGTGGGTTTAGGTTTGTCTGGCAGACACCACAAGGGTCAGCAGAGACTGCCATTCCTCATGGGGCCATCCAGCTTGGCCTCACGAGCAGCCCAGGTCACATTGTCTCCTGTTCCCCTCACTGAAATCCCAGTGCCCACTACTGTTTCTCAAGGTCCCCTGATTCCAGTGCCAGCCTGCAGGTGGGCTGGAGCAGGGACTGCCCTGATAAGGCAACTGTGGATGAGCAATTACAAGGGAAGAGGGCGCTTGAACTGGCCACAAGGAGATGGGTACTAGCCTTGCAGGTAGAGGTCAGAGACACTGCAGGAGCACTCCTCCTCCAAGGAATTCACTCTCTCCACAATCCAGCCTCCTCCTGTGGTGCAGAGTCCACATGGAACAGTCTAGGGGAAGAGGATATGTGGTTTTTCTGGGTGCAGTTCAGGACTGCTAGTAAGCTCCTAGCTATGTGTCCCTTCCAAAAGACTTGGCTTCATCCCACCCTCTCCTGCCTCCCACTCTCCTCCTCCCTCTCCTGCCAGGTGAGTCTTTACTTCTGGTCTTCTACCACTGTACACCAGCTTGGCTCCTTTGGCAGCCTCCCAGGGAAGTGGGGAAGGGGCATGTCCCACATCTCATCACAAGGGCCAGTACAGAGCAGTCTCTCATGCTGGGAGAGAAGGGAGAGACCCACTCTTGCCCCTCTCATGAAGACGGAAGAGGAATTTCCATTTTGCCAGATTTGGCATGCTGATCCAAGTGTGATCTTTGCAGAGGCTGGAGACCCCCTGTACATTTCCTTGCTGACTCTGGGACAGCACTGAGGCACAGGAATTGGTTTCCACAGATGGGCTGAGATGGGGGGGTGTGCTGGCAGTTTCCCTGTCTGTGCCCCCACCACCATGAGAGACCTGGAGCAGGGGGTTCCTGCCATTGCTGCAAGTCTAAGCCTGCAGAAAGAAATCCTGATCAGGGCTCAGCTTGGCCTGAGCAGAGACAACTCAAATTAAATACGTGGCCACCTTCATATAATACAGTAGATATAGAATGGCTTATAGAATGGGTTGGGTTGAAAGGGACTTTAAAGCTCATCTTGTCCCACCCACTGCCATGGGCAGGGACACCTTCCACTAGCCCAGGTTCCTCCAAGCCCCTCCAGCCTGGCCTTGGACACTGCCAGGGATGGGGCAGCCACAGCTTCTCTAGGGAACCTGTTCCAAGTCCAGAGAAGCCCACACTGGAGCTGTAGGTGCAGGTATTCTCTTGGGCTGGCAGCCCCACATTGGTGCATGAACTGCTTCTCTCCCAGTGCGTCCCCTTTCACAGCAGCAGGTTGCCCAACAGCCCCTCTCCCACGCTATGGAAAGCTGAGGGCAGCCCCTGTCCCAACCTGCCCACAGCAGCCTGGTGGGATGCCCTGCTCCCCTCCCTGGCTGTGAGGAAGCAGAGGTGGGGATCTGGCCAAGCCGTGCTGGGGACAGCTGCTCGGCAGTCCGGGAGAGGGCTCCAAGAGGGCAAACTGCAGCCCTGTGCTGGCACTGCCACAGCGGTCAGGGACACAGGCCTATCCCCAGAAGAGTCAAAGCTCACTGACATGTCACACATCTTTTTTCCCACCTCTAAATCCCACCCTGGGCTCCAGTTCCTGGTACTCCATGATGGAGAGTTGGCGGGAGCTGAAGCTGAAGCAGGAGCTGAGGCCAGCTTTCACAGACCCATCGTAGAGATGAGTCCATCCAACCCCTCCAGCTGGAGAATATGTGAACTTGGCCAGAGCAAACGTACTTGGTTTGACTGGCTTCTGCAGGAGTAAGATTGCTGCCTCAGTACAGCTAGACTCCCACACCTAAGAGTTTGTCCTCCAGGATAGTTTTCTAAGCTACGCATATATATACCTGCCCCTGCATTTCATTAACCTATTGCTCCCTCTTCTCACCAGGAACTTTCCTAGAGAAGTAAACTCACCTATCACGCTTGCAGGGCACAGTGTAAGATGGCCCAAGGAAGCCCAAGTGTCCTCCAGCTGTGCCAGGCTCACATGTGTAAACCAAGGCATCCACCAAGTTCTCTGGCATTGCCTTCCCACCGGCAGGAATCCCATTGGTGCTGTACACAGCTATAGTGCTGGAGCCTTCACTAGTAACAGAGATGTTCTTGGAGGTCAGGTTTGTCCCATCTGGAAATGCCAGGGAAATAGATGAGATTAATATCTAGAAGATGTTAGGCTGAACTTTGAGTCTGACAGGACAAGCTGGCAACAAGGAGGACTCCAAGAAATGAGAAACACAGTAATGGTCGTGACTGAGACCAAGTAAAGCTGCAAGGAAGCTGCTTGATGTGAACATGTTTCCAAAAAGATCAAGGTTCCTCTGAGATGCAGTAGTCTTCATGCAGCCCAGACAGAAATTAAGGTGAACATGAGTAAGAATGTGAATGTGTTAAGGTGAACAAGATAAATGAATATGCTGACAAAGCACCAGCTGAGGATGACGAGGAGGCAGCACCACTGCAGGGTTCAGTGAGCATTACAACATGAGGGAGCAAGTCACAGGCCTAGTGGGCCCTGCTTCTCCTGAAATCCCCTTGTCTTGGTACCAGCAGGAGGAATTTTTGGTCCTCCCACCCTCCTGCATTAGCAGAGGCACATGGGGAGGATTTATCACCTTCTCAACTGGAGTATGACAGAACAGCCCAGGCAGAACAAATAGAGGAAAAACCAGGAATGAAGGACAGGAAAGGCAAGGCAGAATTGTTCTCCATGTTGTGCACCCTCTTCCATCTGTTTCCTCTAAAGTGCTGAAGCCCCTGCCCATGTGTATGAAGACAGACCCCACTCCAGGCCCATTTCTGTTGTAGTGTGCTTTTATGCTTTGTAATACTTTGTAATAGTATGGGTTTTGTATCCCCTTATTTCCCCCAAATGATATACCCCTTTTTGTACCCCCTCTCTCTACCTGTGTAATCATTCTCCTGTGTTGAGACCATCCCCAAATCCCCGCCCTGGCTCTCTGTCAGTCACTCAGCATCCCATCCCCTCTATCCAGAACTTTCGGTCCAAGTCGTCGAGTGATTAGTCCGAGGCCAGGGGTCAGCCCCCTAAGTATTATTTTGTACACTATCCCAAATGTCCATCCCTAAGGTTGCATCCCTGGAGGGTCCTTTATTGGTCAGCAAATGTATCTACCCTCGGTTTCCTCCCCCCCTTTAAATGTAATTTTGAGATTCCTTTGTTTTACTCTGGGCAAGGGGCACCACTGAGGTGTGGGGCTCCCTGAGGAGCTCTGAATAAACCTTGGGCTGGCCCCCTGCTGAGAGTCGGCCTTTTACCCTCTACCGATGTCTCCAGTGTCTCTTCTGATGCTAAGGTGACTGGCCTAGCTGCCCTCGGTACCCTCGGGGCACCAGAGAGTGTCCCCCCACTGTCAGGGCACCAGAGAGTGTCCCCCCACTGTTGGCCACTTTGGGGCTGCCCCCCTGTTGTCTGCTGACCCGGGGCTGGCTGGGGTTCACTGGGAGGCACCCCCAGAGAGAAGGAGACACATTTTGTTGGACTCACCATGCCCATGTTCTTCATCCAGCACAAACACAACAGCCCTGTGACTTCAACAGTGCCCTGCAAAGGGATGCTGGCATGTGCCTTCCCTGTCTTCCCTGAGAAGAATACCAAGCTGAGCCCTCTGGGGCTGGTGCCAGGCTTCCCCTCCAGCTCCATGAAGCAGATGTGGGCATTGCCACTGGCCAGGCACAGCTCACTGATGTGGATGGCAGGAGGGCCCAGCACTGTGAAACTGCTGCACAAGTTCTCCCACAGTGGTGTCCCCATGGTCACCTGTGGGGAGACACAAAAGCTGTTGCCACCATTGACACTGTCATTTCCTTCAGGTGGAGTCACAGCTGCTCACAGCATTATCTCTTGTTCACCTGAACACCTCCTGAGGCTCCCTGGTGAGGCAGGAGGATACAATAAAAATCACAAAACGGTTTGGGTTGGAAAGGATCTTAAAGCTCATCCTGTCCCACATGGGCAAGGACACCTTCCACTATCCCAGGCTGCTCCCAGCCCCATCCAACCTGGCCTTGGACACTTCCAGGGATGGGGCAACCACAGCTGCTCTGGGCAACCTGTGCCAGGGCCTTACCACTCTCACAAGGAAGAATTTCTTCCTAATACCTGACTTAAATCTGCCCTCCTTCATCTTAAAGTCATTCCCCCTTGTCCTGTCCCTCCAAGCCCTTGTCCAAAGTCCCTCTCCAGCTTTCCTGGAGCCCCTTTAGACACTGGAGGGGACCCTAAGGTGTCACCAGAACCTTCTCTTCTCCAAGCTGAACAACTCTCTGAGCTTGTCTTCATAGGAGCAGGGCTCCAGTCCTCAGAGGATCTCTGTGGAGATTTCATCTGGACTTGTTCCAACAGCTCCATGTGTCTCTTGTGTTGGGGGCAGTACAGGACTGGTGATTCTGTCTCACACCAGTAGGCCTGGCTGCTTTTCCTGTTGTAGAGGACCAGCCAGTATCCCTGGAGGTCGAAGATGTCTGTCCAGTATAGAAGAATTCAATGTATACTGCATCCTCTCCTTCCCCAGGGTTGTCTGCATTCACCTCATTGTTGAGTAGCTTGGCAAGTTGCACAGAAGGCCCTGGAGTCCCTTCTGGTATCTCTGATGGGACACCTGGAAAGCAAAAATGTCCCAAATACGGGCCTAAGCACCCAGCTCCAAGGAAACAGACAATGTTGCACAGTATTTTGCTGGGATGAGACAAAATTTAGCAGAGGACTGAAGATGTTGGCTCACACTTTTATCATTCATGTCCTTTATAGTCCTTAGAAGAGGAGTACAGGCAACCCACTGGTTAATACCAGCTGTAACAACAGGGCTTGCTGTTAGTTCAGACAATGAGCAATATGGGCTCTAGTAGCAGGATGCAATGGAATTGGATGAGACTTTTGCCAGGTTGCAGAAAGGGAGGGAAGAATATTTCCCTCTTCTAGGAGAGCCAGATCCACATGTCCACCCTCAAACACACAATATCCCCCATCCTGCAAAGATGATCATCAGTACCTGGAGGCAAGTCCAGCACATTCATATCCCTGAGGCAAGACCTTTCTGCTCTGATGTTCCTTCCATCAAAGTTCACAAATCTGGGTGTCTCCAGGAAGGTCAGCAGAACACTGCTCAGCTGCTCTTCTGACCTGGCAGTCAGCAGAGTGGCAAATACAAGACCCAGGTCCCTGACAGGCTGCTTTTGGCTCTGCAGAGGCAAGCAGAGAACTGCCTTGGTTTCCCCAAGTCACCAAAGACCCACTTCCTCCTGGGACAGGCCCAGGGCTCACCAGCTCATCTCTACCAGAACTGTCCTCATGGTCAGACTGACTCGGGGCAGCTCATCCCATCAACACAGCACTGGGAGTTCTGCCTGTGCCTGGGGCAGAGGCACCCTGGGAGCAAGCCTGTGTCCAGCTGTGGGAGCACCAGCACAGGAAGGACATGGACCTGCTGGAGCAAGTCCAGCAGAGGCCATGAAGATGACTTTGTGACTTAGAATGGAATGGTTTTGGTTGGAAAGGACCTTAAAGACCATATTGTTCCAATCCTCCTTCCATGGGCAGGACCCATAGATCATATGGATCAGAAGGTCAAGTAGACAACGAATGCCGTGCAGAGATGTCAGTCCTGCTGCCACCTCTGTGGCTGCCAATGCCCAAGGCCAGAGCAGCTGGTGGTCTGCGTGCTGAGGCAGCTGGGGATGAAATGCTCTGCAGAATGTGGAGGAAGAGCACCATGCTCTGCCCAACCCTGGACATCTCTGCCATCAGCACCAAGACCAAATTAGATGGATCCATGCCAGGAGGACACAATGTGAGAGGAAACATGGCCTGAAGATCAAGAGCATGTGGGGCATTATCCATGGGAGGTCCCTAGACTGCTCTGCTCCTGCCCAGCTCACCTCTGAAGTAGGCAGAAGAGACTCCAGTACTGCTGGATCCTTGACCAGAGTCAGCAGAATCTCCTCCTGCTTCAGAAGGCACTCCTGGCAATCTAGGAAACAAAAAGCCCAGTGTTACCTGGCCAGTGCTAGCTTGGTCATGGGATACAGCTCATCTTGGATGGGTGCAGGTCCATTCCTGCTTATCCCTGTGGGACCAGGGACAATTGAGTCTCAGATGTGGGAGCAAGAGGAGCAAAGGAAGGAATAGGAATGTGCTGTGGATGAGTGGTGGCCCTGACGTGGCTGTGGGCTACACCTTCTCCTGATATGGTTGACTACACTCTAGTCTCAAATCATGTTTCAGGCCCATCCAGAAAGGGTGAATCTCTTTCAGCCATTAAGCCATGACCTTGGTACTGACAGTTACACCCAGAGGTCTCAGGTCCGGTGCTTGGCCATGCAGACAACAGGCAAGAATGTGCCACGATGGTTTCTTGATTATTGCCTGTCTCTAACACTCCTCACTCCTCTTCAGGCACTTGGCCCCTTGCTGCCTCTGCTCTTTCACTGCTCCACTGCCCTCTACCCACTGTGTCCTCTTTCTCTGTTCTCCCATCTCACAAAAGTCTGAGGATTCTAGCATTTCCCTTAACCCACAAAGACAATAAGGAACCCAAAAATAAAAAAGTGAACTGAACCCAGAATGAGCAGTAATCCTGCTTCCAGTCCTTGGTCTGGATGAAACAGGGATTTCCTCCTGAGTCAGGCAAACAATGCTGAGGTCCCTTCCTCACCCTCATTTTGACCTGAAATTCCATTCTGAAGCTAAGAAAATTCTTTTATAATTGAAAGCAGTACTGAAGAATTTATTAAACTGACCATTACACTTTCATAAACAATAAAATATTAATGTTACAATCAGCAATCAACTGATCAGGAAATTCCTCAAGTACTTCATTCTGAAGCTGCACCAGGACCCATGTGGAGAGGTGAGTATCTATGGCCTTAGACAATGATGGGACTCAATATTGCCGTGAGGAGACCCTGGTCTGGAGGTGGCACTTGTCTCCCGGTCCTGTCAGGGTTTGGGGCACAAGGCTGTGGTGACCCCATTTGGGGAGCAGCCCTAGTGTCCAGCTGTGCTTCCAGCCCGGCCTCTCACCGCTTTTCCAGGAAGGCAGGCCTGCCAGGGGTCAGGGTCTGCAGCAGCTCCAGGTCCTGTTCCTCCCTGCTCGGGTACACAAAAGCATCCAGCAGGCTGCTCTCCAGCAGCATTTTCCCTGGCACAAAACTGCTGCTGTGGCCTCTGTACAGGGCAATGGCAGCGGGGCCACCTCTGAGGACAGGATGGGTGGTGCTCTCTGGGAACTGCACACCAAAGTAAGGAAAAATGAGGGCATGTAAGCAACACCTGGGCAATACTCACAACATCTCTTTGGTCCTGGAGAGCAGCACACAAGGACTCGGAAGGTGGCTGGGATTGTCTGGTTAGTACAAATGTGGGATCTGCTGCCCCATCTTTCTGCTCACAAACACCTCTTATGTATGTTCAGCCTGAATTTCCCCATTCATGACCAGATCCACACTGTGGAGGAAGCTGGAGGGGGAAATCTGAGCAGAGTTCATCCTGCTGTTCTGGTTCTATGAGCAGAGAGCTGATCCACGTGTGAGCAGGCGAACTGGGAAGCCAGTACTGATGTGGCCTTGTACAGTAACATTAACTTTTAATTCTAAAAGAGATCTGCAAACTCAACTAACCTTTCAAGTACCAGTTAGTACACAACAGTATTTAAGAGTTTACACTTTAGCATTTAACAATCTGTGGTTTTTCCAAACATAAACTACACACACACATACAGTCAAAGCCTGGGACACCAGTAAGGGAATTAAGGTGGAGGTTTAGTGGAGTTTTGCAATTTCATGAGCTTCCTCATTTCTTTCCTTCTACGTACTGCTTCCTTCACAGACTGTTTCTCCAGGAGGAATTGCTGAGGCCATTCATAAAAAGGCTTTCATATTTTCAGAAACAGGCTTTCTGGCTCTGTAAATGGCTCCAGGGAACAAACATTAAAGAAGGAATCGCATGAAAGGCAGAAGGGTAAGGAGATGTGGTTACTCCTTGAGAAGTGCCTCCAGGACATTTGCATACCAATGGACAGCCTTATGCTGGCAACTATTTTTCACCCACCTGACTAATCTGGTGGCTTTCTTCTGTCCTGGAGAACAAAGGAAGAGGAACTGATGTAATCTATCTTGACTTCTGCAAGGCCTTGGACACATCCCACACAACACCCTTGTCCCTTGATTGAAGAATGGACTATTCAATGGCTAAGGAATTGGCTGAATGGCTGCATCCGAAGTGTTCCAGTCAACATGTCTACACCTAAATGGAGAGCAGCAGCAAGTGGTGCCCATTAGATGTCTGTGCTGGGACTGATGTGGTTCAGTATCTTAATTTAATGGCGCAAGTGGTGGGCCTGAGAGCAGCCTCAGCAAGCTGAGCAGTACTGGAGGGCAGAGATGGCTTTTGGAGGATGAAGGAGTGGGACTATGGGAACCTAGTGAAGTTCAACAAGGCCATGTACAAGGTTCTAGACTGGGGTCAGGGCAATAAAAAGTACCAGTACAGGCTGGGGGGTGAGTGGATCGATGGCAGCCCTGTGGAGAAGGAACTTGGGACACTGGTGTAATCAAAACCAGACCTGACCCAGCAAGGTGCCCTGGCAGCCCCAAAACCTGCTGTGCTGGGCTGATCCTGCCGTGTGGGCAGCAGGGGAGGGGGAACTCTGCCCCTCTCTGCTGCTCAGGTAAAAGCTCCAGAGCACCACCTGCAGAGCTGCCTCTAGCCCTGGGGTCCAACAGCAGAAGGATGTGGAGCTGCTGGAGTAAGACCCCTCGTGTCCTCACACATGGGTGGTTTGCCACAACACCAGAGCAGGCCACAGAAATGCTCCAGAGGCTGGAGCCCCTCTGCTCTCTGAAGCCAGGCTGGGAGAGCTGGGGGTGATCACATGGAAAAGAGACAGCTCCAGGGAGACCTTACTGTGGCCTCCTAGTACTGATAAGGGGACAGCCCCACTGACAGGAGGGGTATTGGTTTTAAAGTGCTAGAGGCTAGATCTGGATTACATAAATAAGGAATAAAAGTTTTATGATGAAGGTGGGGAGGCCCTGGCACAGGTAGCCCAGAGCAGCTGTGGTTGCCTCATTCATCCCTGGAAGTGCCCAAGACCAGGTTGGAGCAATCTGGTCCAGTGGAAGGTGTTCCTAGGGCAGAGGGATGGGACAGGATGACCTTTAAGGTCCTTCCCAAGCCAAACCATTCAGGGATTCAGTGGAAGGTTTCCACACTGGCATCTCTCAAGGGAGGACTTTTGCTCCAGTGCTCCCACAGCTTTAAGTTCTCTCAGTATGAGACAGGCGAGCTGTACAAAGACAAGACTAGAAGCTGGGGCATTGTTATAAGCTTCTGTCCCAAATCTGAAGTGGTCAAATTAAATCCGCTTCTCAGAGGGTGCTCAGCATGGAGTCACTTTAAAAATGCCTTTTAAGATGATTAAAATCGAGTCATACAGTGTCATTGGGTGGAATGATGGAAAACTTTCCCCTAACTGCTTGAGATATCTTAACAAAGTCTCCTCAGAAAATTATGTCAAAACCTATCTCCAGTCACCTCCTTGACTGGTATCAGTCTTGAGGGAGAGTTAAACATAATCCTTACAAATTTCCTGCTTAGTCTGAAAACTGGTTGTGTTTTCACATTGCTTTCCTTGACCCACCCTCTTGGTCATTTACTGCTCACAGCCCAACTCATTCAGATGGGAAATTAGAGCACCTTTCCTGAGGAAAAATCAGAGTTCAAGTGGACAATCAGATCTTTTACATGTGGTGTGAGAATATTCAGTGCAGTTTGAATTGTAAGGAGTTCAACTGTTTAAAAAAAGTTTCAGTTATCAAAGTACTTTTATGGGAACCAAATTTGTACAGGAAGACTGTACTCCCAGAAATCATGAGTCAGTGAGTTATACAAGACATTTGCAGAGTCAGCATCCCCAGAATCTTCTTTTGAGATTCTCAAAATAACAAAATATTTCTTCCTTCTCTGGTGGCCTGGAAGAAATTGAGAGCATTGGGAGGAAGTTAAGAGGGCAGCTACACACAGCTGGCACACGTGTGACCTGTGCTTGCAGTTGGTGCCATGGAAGTAAAGCCCTTGTGGCCTTTCTAGGAGTGTGTGTATTTGCTGTGGGTGACCACCATGTTCCACACAGAGAAGGGGGTTACTTCCAGGAGATGTGACACAACCAGGGCCAATGGCAGGGTGGCTGCAGGGCTGAGAGCAGAACTGTGTCTTCCCAAGAGGCAAAGTAAACTTGGGCTGGGGACCTCCATTCCTAACCTGGGCTCTGCAGGTCTACCACTGCCACACCACCTCCTCTTGTTTGCCCTGAAACTGCCTCCTGCCTCTTTTTGCTGCCCCTTAGCACTTGCACCAGGCAGAAGAGTAAGCAATCAAGCCCTGTTCATTTTCTTTGGACTGCTCACATTTCTAAAACCTCTGCCAGGGTTCTCCTCAGCTTTTCCTTTTCTAGGTGTTCTAAGTTATTTTTTCTGTGGAAGCATTTCCACAGCACTACCCATCCTGACTGACCTGTCTGAATGCCTCCAATCCTAATACATCCTTTTTGACATTGATGTATTGAGTCGCACAAGGCACAGTTAAACATCCAAGCAAACCACAAATTTATACAGAGGCATAAAAGCTGTCCTCCATTCTTTCCTCTTCTCCTAATAATTTCTGATATTCACTTTGCTTTATATAATTACTTTTTCAATAATTTCTAACATTTTATTTGCTTTTTTATTTGCCACTGAGTTCTGAGTCCCATTTTCACTGCTCTCTCAGAATGCCAAACAACAATAAACACAACAGCATTCCCCAGCCCCAAGCCTGACTGATCCCTCCTCCAGCCCTGAGGTCATCATCCACACATCAGTCCTTACCTGGGGCTTTGCTTTGTGCTGTGGACAAGGAGGAGTCCACCTAGAGAGGTTTGGCCGTAGACATCCACAGTGAAATAATGTTTTTGGTCCGGCTATCCATCAGCACCAAGACAGTGTCCCTCAGCACGGTGAAGTGGGGCCCCTGGAGCTCTATGAACTCAAACTTGCCAGAAGAAGCAGAGGGAAGGACCTCACTGATGGCTCAGGAAGCAAGGACCTCACAGTGGCTGTCCCTGCCTGGTGTGGGCAAGGCCACTTGGAAGATCCACTGAGAATCTTTCCCATGGCACCTCTCTACTGACTCATCCACAGTCCTCTAGGTGGGGTCCTCCAGGAAAGCCTCTCTGCCAGGGGTCAGCACCCTGACAAGAGTGTCTGCTCTGTCTGTCTGTCTTCTTAGTCTTATGGACTAGGTCATCTACCATGATGCTCATGCCCTCCTTGTAGTTCCCTCTTCCACAGTAGAGAGCAGTGGCATCAAGGCCATTCTGATGGTGTTCTTAGGGATAACCAGGGCAGGGTTCAGGAAAGAGGAGCCAATGAGAAAGAACCCTTGGCTGTCGGTGACTTTGCCCTGGAGGTTCAGCACCTCATATGCTCATTCCTGTTGCCATTGTACAGGACCAAGCAGTAGCCATCCAGGTGGGCTGCTTGCCCACTGGCGTGATGGAGCTCCACAAATTCAGCAGTGTCTACTCCTGGGCTGTCAGCATTGACTTGGTTGATCAGGGGGGTGTGCTCAGTTTCCTGGCCCCTGGTGGGTTTTATGAGATTTTGAGTAGCACCCTTGGAAAAGCAGAGGTACAGAAGTACCATGAATCCAATGTGCCAGGTACCTCCCATGATGAAGGCTGGGATTTTTGTTAAAGTTCAGGTCTGGAGAGGGAGCCTGTTCTTCTCACAGCCACTAACAGGGCACAGCAGGAAGCTACCACAGGCTGTGCAGGAGAAGTACATGAAGCCTCTGACCTGGGTGTTCATTGGCAGAGGCACTGGCAGAGGCAGACACTCTTCTTCACGGAGTTTAGGTTTGCCAAACAAAACATCAATCCCACACAAACCTGAAGGGTATGGCTTAAACAAGAGAATTCCCAGCTCAGGTCCTTTGAATGCTGGCAGGAGGGTATGGGAAAAAAGAAGAATTGTGTTAGGAAACACAGAAATACACCAGTGACATTTAACAGTCTTTAAGACTGTTAATAATTTCCTCTCCATGTTTCTTCTAAGGTTTATCAAGATGCAATGGGGCAAACCCAGAAGTCTGCAGTGTT